GACCTCAGGGCTTGGTTTTTGCTCTGATATGCATTATCAGCTGTTAGACCTTTTATTAAGATGTGTGTGCCTTTCCAGATCATATCCATTCAATTGAATTTGCCACAGGTTAACTTCACTCGAAGTGTAGTGACATCTACAAGCAATATGAATGCTCCTGAGCTAAATTTGAACTGTCCCAGATAAGGGTATGAATACTTACGCAGTGGAATCATTTAAGTTTTTTATTTTTAATAAATTTGCGAAGATGTTAAAAACCTGTTTTTTGCTCTACCATTATGGTGTATGGAGTATAGATTGATGTGGAAAAAAAGTCATTTAAAGCAGTTTATCATAAGGCAGCAATATAACAAAACGTGAAAAAAAATGAATACTTTCGCAAGGCACTGTACATTTCAGACCAGTATGTGGCACTGTAATTCTGCCACAGAGATACACTGAAAATGGAGAAGAAGACTTGGAGCATGCGCATAAACCTTGTATAAACCGCGCTGTATAAAAACTCAACACAACAAGAAAACAAACATCGAACAATACATTTATTAATCTGTGTTAATGTTATTTAATTAAAGACAGTCGTTCAGTGTTTGTTCATGTTGTTGTTGCTGTTACATGACGTAGCGGTGTCTGACTAGGGGCGAGACGTGGGGAGATGACATCATCGTTTCACAAAATATATGGATTGGCTGTACACACGAAAACGCAAGGGTGTCGTTTTCAGATTTATCCACTCTGGGACCTGGTTTCAAAAAATAGCAGTTTCAAGCTCCCAAAACGCCGGATCCATCTGGACGAAACGCCGATACAATACAAAACCTTTACGTAAATGCGTCTCTGTGTGGACGAGGCCCATAGGCAGCAGTAACCAGATAGCTAGGAACAGGTGTGCTCAATCAGGCATAAGTCCAGGCAGTGGCTTGTGGGAAATGAAGTCCATGACAAAATGGCAATTACATACAATGGAGTACCCTCAGGTGGACAACCAGAGCACTTCATCTGACTATCATTACAGACAGGGAGGCGGTTAAAGCAAACAACAGCTCCATTTGGTTCAAGATGAGCCAGCTGTTATACCTCTACACAATTCCAAATGCTAACAAAAAACCAACATAGAAAAAAGAAAAATCAAAGGTAGAAAAATCAGAGCAGTGATTAATACAGGTGCAGGTGTCAACATTCTAGATGAAAAAAAAAAAACCTTCAAGTCTCTGTGTGATCCACCTGTCCCAAGTAAAGCAGATGTGACTATTTTTGCCTATGCGTCCCAGACTCCTCTGCCTGTGTAACCCCTCCAGGCCTAACCGGCCTGCTCCGAGCTGGACTTGAAACTGGATCGCTGGCATGGTCGGCGGGCGTGCTAACAAGGACGTAAAGACTGCAGCCTCCAGTGTCAGTTGCTAGTGTGTATTTTGAGATCTGGGGAGTGAGGGTTACCTGCACAGCACTTACCAGCTGGTCCTTGTTACACCTGTCCTTGGAAAAAGTTACAGAAGTACTTGAAACAAAGTCACAATTTCTCACACAACAACTCACAAGGGAGGAAGTACCACATTATTTAGTTACAATACTGCTTCTAAGTTAGGTCTTATCAAAGTAGTGAACAGATTGAAATCCAAACAAGTCTTGAACATCTAAACTCGCCAGGTGCCTGTCCACATTTCCCACAATACACCCAATGTGAACTGCCTTGTTGCTGAGTATATGATAACCACCATGATGCTGACAAATTGAAAAACTTTCAAGTTAAACTTCACATCAATAAATCTATCACCCCAGTTAGTCAACCTCATCACAGGGTCCCCTTTCACATCAGGAAACGCACAGAGACTGAGCTTACACGACTAGAACAACTGGACATTATTGAAAATGTGGAAGGCCCAAACCATGGGTTTCCCCTGTTGTTGCAGTGTCGAAAACAAAAGATCCAGATGCTGTTCAGATCTGTGTGGATATGCATTTACCAAGTAAAGCCATTTAAATACAAAGACAACTGACACCTACGGCCTCAAGATACATTACCACTTTTTCCACTCATGTAGGCTTTAGACGCTACAAGCTTGATTTTGGCATATCCTAAGCTGCTGATCAATCAAACCAACACATGTGTGTGACCTACATATCTGTGGTTCTGCTGTAATCCTAAACTCTCCTGCTTGTTTCACACTACAAATACAAAAGGTGTCACACTAAATTAATATAATATAGAATATGTAAAGATAAAGTAAGCATGAAACTGAATCACTTATGTGAAAGTCATGTTCATTTTTATCATAAACAACATTTATGAACATTTTTCAGTTTTAAACATGAAAAGTCTAGAGTGGAGTTTTAAGGAACATGTGAATAATCACTAATATTTTAGCTACATACTTCTCCTTTGCATTCATTGATCATTGTTAAGTGCTTTAAACAAGAACTGAAATTTACCTACTTACTGCAGAAATTTCTTTGTTAATTTCAACTGAGCTGGCCTCATTAACAATTTATCATTAGATCAAATGTAATTAATTCCCATTTAGATTGAGTTCTCTGAGCTTATGCATGGTCTGTTTTTGCTTTGCAACCTTACATTTCTTACAGTTTTTTTTATAATTGCTTAAGCACAATTTTAAAATCAAGGCTCATTTTGTCAAAACACAACACACAATTCACAGATCCACACACACACAAGTAGCAAAACACCTCAGATCTTTTGCAAAATGAAACACTTCATTCAAAACTTTCCATTAATTTAACAAAACCCAACTTTGACACCGTATGGAACACATATGGTTCATACATTCTGATTCTGTTTGATTAAAGTCCAGCCCACACTATGCGATTTTGCCCACGATTTGGTCATCTGAGACAAATTTTGAAAATCCTAAAAGATTCCTATAATCCTTGGCTAAAATCTGTATTCTTTGATCGTTAGTTTGACATGTTCACCGACAGCCGATTAATGGCCATTGCGATCGAATTTTACCTCCGATGAACTTCTGGCAGTGTCAGAAGATTTGGCGCACAGTCCTGCAGTGTGACTTCTCCTACGACGAACGTCAAACTGTCTTAGTTTTTCAAGACAAGCCATGATCAGAATTAATGCTAGAGATTTCTTCTAACCGCATAAACTCCGGCGCTCCCGTCCTCCGCTCACGGAATTCATCTGATATGTTGCCTTTGTTATGATAAACACCAGTTGCGCTGCTATTTTCATGTGGGTGTGTAGTGCTGCCTACACTATTCTTCTTAAATACGCCGGTATTGCCGCCATTCATATACTTTTAATGATAGCCAACATTACAGCCCCGCATGCAAAGCAGCTCACAGTCACTGAACCTGTTTGGGTTGATAAGGTAAAACTCTGGACAACTTTTCTTGCGCTCACCCGTTTTTACGCGTCTTGACTGTCGTACAGTCTGACATTAATGACAACTGAGAGCCCACAGTGTGACATGATCATCATGTTCGTACAGTCTGACAAGCAACAATCGTAAAGGACTAATAAAAAAAATCGCAGAGTGTGCACCCCAGAGCAGATCGGTGGAAAGATACATTGTCCCAGATGACAACATATCTCATCTGCTCTGCATCCATTTGTTCTTCTGATGTGACAATGTTGTGAAGTCGGTCTAAAAATGTGAGAATGTGGGCCGTGTTGTAAGGACCTAACTTGGCATGGCGGTGGAGGATCCCATTCTGCGTGATTGCAGCACACATTGTGATGTTGCCTCCACGTTGGCCCCGGACATTCAAAATAGCTCTATGGCCAATGATGTTTCTCCCTCTTCTTACTTCAATCAGGTTAAACCCAGCCTCTTCCATGAAGATAAATTCATGTGGGATTGGATCAGCATCAATTAGCAAAACTCTGAGAAAAAGAAAAAAAAAAAAGAGAACATGTAAAAAGGTTCCGTGTGCAGTGGACAATACTGAAGTGTACATTACTTACCTCCACGTATTCATGCCGTAGGTCTTTTACTCTTTCAGAATTTCTTTCAAAAGGCACTTGTTTCATCTGTATGTGATGTTTTTTAAGGATTCGCCCCAGTGTTGATAGAGAGACCTGATGGACATTATTGAAAACTGTGTGGTCATTCAGGATGTTTGTCTGAATTTCTCTGAGACGTATCGCATTATTGGCCAAAACCATGTTTAATGATAGCTCTCTCTTGTTCCTCTGTGAATATGGGGCCCCTTGCTCCTCTACATTCTCGATCCTCAATCCTATGTAGATCAATCAAAATGCATGTTACAGTAAATGTCACAAGACAGCACACAAGACATTGTCTCAAACATGGAACACAGTGAATGGTACCAAACAGTACTGATGGAGGTCATATAGTAGGCTATGTTGTACTGTAGACAGCAGAAAAAAAGTTGTTTTTTACCTGTGCTCTTGTCGAAATGTCCGAATTACTGTAGCAACAGTATATCTGCTGAGGTTGGGCTGAACTCTCTGTCCAGCCTCTCTCAATGTCAACCCATGGTTACAACATGGTCAACCAAGGTTGCTCGAATAGCATCTGATAAATTTGGTCCACGTCCTCCAGGTCTACCTCTTCCTCTCTCTACCCCCCTTCCTCTATGGGCTGTCCCTCTCATCCTAACTCTTCCTCTTCCTCTTACTACGACATTGCCTTCCATTTTTGTTGAAGACAGGTAAACTCACCTGTTGCCTTTTTATAGTGCTTACACCTGATCGTTGAGTTTACAGTTAAGCACCTAAGTGTCGGCACACCTGACGGCCATGTTTAATCAATTGGTTTATAGGGATGGTATTTTGGAAAACAGTGTCTTGAAATGGCAAAGAAGTGACATTATGTTAGATTTCTGTGTCTAATGTAGAAAACTGTGTTTAGTGTTTTGTGTGAGGCTGAGAATGTGCTTATAGTTGTGCAGATCTGGGCTGAGATTTTGCTCCTCTGTGTGTTATTTTCAATTTTAGTGTGTAAGCAATCGTAAAAAACTGTAAGCATCTCTCTTCTGTTCAGTGTTAACAGGTTGAGTTAGAACAATGCGTTATAATTTATTCATAGTATAATGCTCAGGTTAAAACTACATTTATCATTATTAGTATAATGTCCAGGGTATAATGGCCAGGTTAAAAACAGAAATTATATTATATATAGTTTGTGATATTAGCTTACATTGCGGCAAAAGTATTCTCTGTTGAATTGTATTATTTGAGAAATAAAAACTTGTCTTGATAAGTTATGCAAATGGTTAATTATTTGAATGACTGCATCACAAAGAGTCAAGTCTTGTAAAAGCATTAGATTGAAAACATTGACATTTCATAAAAGTGTGTAAATAATAGAAATGCAGTTCAAAATTGCCTTTCTGTATATGCAAATGTTATTTGAGTATTTAATTTGTGTAGCTAAAACATGTATTCACTATACTCCTAATTACAAGAAGAAGAAAAAACTGCTCTTAAGCTGGGTGTGTGACAGGTATGGCTGTGGAATGGGGTTTGGCCGAGGAAAAATTTTCAGTCCAATTTTT